CCTAATATTCCTTGAGCAGAATACTGGGCTCTAGGCTGTGCTGCGTTGAAGGAAATGTCCATCGCAAGTTAGGAAGTGCTGATTTATTTCAGGGTCAGCTCTGGCACAGCAGTCAGCTGCTACACCACATGCTTCCTGAAGTTTTCCCGGTGGATCTTATCCCATGGTGAGCTACAAGCAGAAAAGAGAAGAGAGGGAAGAACATCAGAATAATGGGACTGTATGGAAGTCTTACGTATCGTTCTGTCAATTCGCATTTCTGAAAAATACATGTGTGTGATTATATATAAATCCACAACTTGCGCAATTGTGGGGACGGATTCTCTGTGATGGTTACTTGTCAGTCAGGGTTGGCTGGAAATATAACCTTAATTAGTATTGATTTCCTATCAGTGGTTTAAAACACTCTGGTATCACCTCATTGTCACAGCACCAGTGTGCAAGATGGACAACTCTGTTCACTTGCTGCGCTACGCTTTTGTAACAGAACTTCTGGAGATGATGATAAAACGTGACCGTGGGTGGCCCTGAAAGAGAAGGACTTTGTGAAACAGAGGCACATGTCAGGCTTCCAGGGACTCCTGCGTTCTAAGACCTCGGCGACTGTCTGCAGTTATGTCAACTGGGCTGAGAGCACAGCTGGCTACAAAAAGCTAAGTCAAGTCCTTGGGACTAAAATTGCCGTTGGACTTGAACGCTTTTGCACGCCGTCGTGCGCACGCTCCGAAGGACACGTCCAGCAGTGAGAATCGGTCATTCAAATGACAAGTCGTGGTCCCAGGCATCTGTGTCCTTCCAGGCTGGTTCCCCTCTCCAGTGAGTTATTTTCATGTTCGTTTTCCTAACAAAACTTTATGCTGACTAGAAATACTTCAGATGAGGAGCCCTTATGTGCTTCCGACTGCATGAATTCAGGAAGCCTCTATGTGCTTTATGCTCTTAATTGTTAATAGTAACGGATAATAAAATACTTCTCTGCCTCAGCATGGCTGGTGATATGTTTTTGAGGGTTCTTTTTGCACTGCCTTCATTACTAAGATCTAGCGGTTAGGATTAATGTTCTTGGAAAAGGCAGCGCGTCCAGCCCCAAGCTGTGCTCCTGGTCGCGGGGCGGCTATCTGCCGAGGCCCTACCGCGCACAAAGTAGAGGGTTGTGCCACAAGGATGTGCGAGGCGGCACCGCTTCCGCATTCAAGCAAGCTTCAGGGATTTCTGTCCGAGACGGGTATTTTCTGCGCTGTGGGAAAGCAGAAACATCTGTCAATGGGGGGAAAAATATCACTGAAATGAGAAATGTTACACTGGTGGTTCACTCGGACCGCTTTGGAACTTCTTCCCTGTAAATTTCTGAACCGCGGGACAAAGTGACGTGTATATTCTGGGCAACAACAGAAGGTACAATGAGGCTTTGTGCTAGAATTGCTGTGGGGAGACGCGTGCTTTTGCTCCGTTTGGGACTAGATTAAGGCAGTGGGTTACAGCTGACCAAAGATCCAGCTTGTCACCAACTCTTGACGGGAGTAGTAACACTACGTTCAGCTGGCAGAGACCAAAGTGGTCGTAAGCGTGCTGTAAAACGTCACCCTTTGACGGCCTGGGCCTCAGGCGTACGTCCTCAAAGGCCCCCCCAGCTCCCCCGAGCTCTCCAGTGACAGTATCTGCGTGTTTGTCTGCAAAAGCTGAAGCCTACTCTCAAAGTGTTCATAGTACAGTTACGGGAAATAACTGGTGCAGGTCGGCAAGGATGGTATACAAGTACTGGTTTTGCTTGGGTTTTTTTTTTTTCTACACACAGCCCCCCACCCCTCCCATGCTGTTTTAGCCTATAGTATCAAATAAATGTATGTATCCACATTTTATATGGAAAACAGTGCTAGGCTTTTCACTTTGGAGACCACTTGAAAATGAAGAACTATTTGATTGGGTTCCGGTTACGTTGGATACAAATCACCACCCAATGACTTCTGTAAGAGGTAGGATCAGTGGAAGTTTTCAGTTTGTCCCACTTCCATGTGTTTAAAAAAAGGCAGGTCTTTGCACACTGCAATGTGTACCTGTACGTAAATTTGAAGGCCTTGATCTAGCATTCATTGCAAAATTTTCAACAGGCAGAAAGCAATTACTAGAATTTGTAAGATAACAAAAAATCCCATGTGCTGAAAAATTATGTTTAAAATGATGTTATTTGGGTGTTTTGTTGATTTCTCCAAACTTTTTTTTAATTGCAAACATATTTTTGTCTAGAAATAGTGCATGTTTCATCAAAAATAGAGACTCTTACATTTCACTGATGTGTGGTGGTTTGCTTTGTTTTGTTGGGTTTTTTTTAGGTAGTCAGAGTCTTTTAGGAAATAGATTCCTCCTCTTTGGAGAAGAAAACCCAACAACAACCACAAGACCCCAAACCAAAAAAATCAAGACTATAATGTTTAATTCATCATAGCTAGCCTATTGTATGTATCCCCGTAGGTGGAAAATAAGGGTGTTTCACTTCATGTTCATTATAAAATTACATGAAATTAACTCCAACCGGTTATTGACACAGTTGCAGAGCTTGTAAGGACATCATAAGAAGGAAGCAATTCAACTGGAAAATTCTCACCTGCATCTAAAGCAAATATTTTCTGGTTTTTGCACATAGCAAAACTGTAGAAAATAAAAGGAATAAACAGCATCCGCTTCGTTGTTGTGGATTATGTCCAGGTGTAGACCAGGCAGGGGAGCTAGGAAAGAAAGAAGACAAACGGCAATGCGATCATTTGTACGCTGTTATCGACCGGTGACTTTAAACAATTAACTCTACTGCTGTGAACTGCTGTAAATTTCCACTGAGACTTGGCGAAGGTTCCCAGCCTGAACCCACCGCACTAAAAGGGACCATGACAAAATATTAGGTTTGTGACTGAGGGGGGCCGGTTTGGAAAAGACGCTGTGCACTCAGATTTTTGCTTTGCCCAACTACGTAAGAAATTGTGCAAATTAAGAACTGGGTTACAAGACTTCTTGGAATATATAACTTGGATTTTTTGGGGGTGTCAGCGGTGAAGGTGGTAATTGCTGGATACGGTCCTGTATTAGCAATTAATGGCTGAGGCAGAGGTGAGAACTGCTGTCACAATTCATTTAGGGCTGCAAATCATTAGAAAGTTAATTTAGAATTTCAATTGCTTTACGTGAGCTGAGGTACCTTCTCCTTGGCACGTTCCCCGTCCTTCACATGCTTCCGACGAAAGAATTAAAGCGGAGGTCTGTTTTCGTTCATGGGGAAGCCCAGAATGGACAGAATACACGTGTGGATCTGGTGCGGTACTCGCATCCAGTTAAGTTTGGCAGGTTCAAACGAGCCACTGCTGCAACCAAAGGAAAATACCATGAGTTTTAATCCTGCTACCCCTGGGCACGTAGTAGTTTTATGTTAGTTGAAATGCAATTTACTAGTGCGAGTTTGCAGAAGAGTTTCATTCAGTCTTTGGGCAAAGACAGCAATAAATCATGAACTGGCAACCGCCCAAAATGAAGTCATGTGGATAGCACTGACTACTAAAGTACGCTTGTTGATAGTTAACACGAAAAGCATATTCCCTGCGGGGCAGCAAGGCAAGAGACACCCGTCGTATGAGGTCACAGCGACGAGTCCTAGGCAGTCAAATGGCTTGTAAAGATTTATATTAGGAAAAAGTACACGTAAATGTACTAGCGGACTTCCTTGTATGTTTTAAAAACTTGGCGCATCTTTGATCCGATGCCGTTAAAAAGGTTTCACGACACTTATCTGAGAGCAGAAAAGGGCCAAGCGCTGGCGTAACCAAGAGGAATTTTTAATAAACCCAGTAATACACCCTGGCCCAAAGCCGCTGCCCATTACCAAGCCCCGGACACACTCTGCTGTATTTTTACTCAGGCTGAGTGCTGTGAGATGGGCATCGTAAACTGGTACAGAGCGCTGGAAGAGCATTCTTGCTACTCGATTATTCTTCTATTTGCTTTGTGATGAACTGGATA